TTTTTTTTTTTTTTTTTCGGTTCGTTAGCCACGCCACGTTTATATTTGTTTGTCACAAATATGAGAAAGGGAACTCTGCGAGAAAAGGTACGCAAAGCGCAAAGCGCTGTTTTTCTGCAAGTTGTGTCCATTGTGGAGACACAACATCAAGCGTGGCTAACGAGTATCGTATATGATTTAACATACATTTACCCTTTGGCGATTCCTCGGCCGATGAAATTAGTGGTAGATCTACGATCGCACGAAAGTAGTACACTTTCGTGACGATTGTCTCTCCGCTTTCCATCGGTCGCGCTTACATTTCGAAACACGCACGCACTACTAAAATGTTTAAGAAAAATTTAATTTAACAGATGATACGTACTTTAAAATATGTCTATTTTTCACATTCATTAATCACGCTGTTTGGTAAAACCTGCGCGATTGCTACTCGCGATATTTCTTCGTTTCTCCATCAAACTTTATGCGAGCGCTTTATGATGCGTTGTTTTTTTTTTTATAGCGTGGATAATTATTTATTTTAAAACAACAATTTTTTCCAAGGCACTTGATCGCCATAATTGTGACATTTAAAGAAATGCAGCGATAAATAACGTAATTTCCTCGTTAAATTTTTGTCGTGAAAGAAAATTATTTGCTGATAATTGAAGAATCTGTGAGAAAAACGATTAGACAATTGGAGAATTAAAGGATTTTGTGAATCGGAGTAAATTTCGAGTTGATGCAAAAATTGACAAGTGCGCGCGTGCTTTGGATGCGAGCTCGATAAGGAAACCGTCGATTCTAATCTCCGTACGTCAGGAAACGTTACCCTACGTGGAAAAAAAAAAAAAAAAAAAAACGAAAACGGAAAAGAGAGTAAAGAGGGCGAGTCACAAGGCCCTAAAGACTTACCGTTTTTTTCACGGTGTTCAATATATAAATTCTGCAATACCGTGATGCTGCGCCTACGGAGCGTTAGATCTGTGTAAATTCTGAGCTTGCGCCGATGATGCATGTTGTGCTTAAGCGACTACCGAGGTGATGGTGGACGTAACGTCATCCCCTCTGGACGCTCTGGACGATGACCAAAGTTTTGGCAATTTTTTAATTCGCGGAGGATTCCCGAATCGAGCGAACCCTCACGTCGCCGCGACGCGCGAGTTTCAAGAAAAACGTTAACGATTAATTCGCCGTTTCGCGAGACGGCTTCTCTTTCTTGTCTTCGGTAGAGTCACGTCGAGTCTGCTAAAGAGCACTGTAGATTGCTTACATACACTCGCTACTTTTCTAACTACTCGTTCTTTTACTTCTGTCTTTATATACTTATATATATATATATATATATATCTCACATATATCTCGCTCTTTCTCTCTATCTCTGTCCGTCTCTAATACTGTCTGTCAATCAGCATCTGAAACGCGATCGACAGATTCGTTCGAGTTTGAGACGTAATTTTATCCATGTGCAACTTTCCAACTCCGAGCTTCAGGACGAAAATGGATTTTCGCTGTACAAATAGAGGTTCTCCTTCAGAAAGCGTGCATAACTTCTCGGTATTTTCGGTATATACGCAAGTTTTCAATACGCGAAGAGAAAGAAAAAGTGCCCGCGGAGAAATCCATATAAATTCATAAGAATGCAAACTTATGTTGCAGAAATGTATATCAATATTTCGGAACAAAAATTTTTGAAACGTGCTAATATCGGAGTAGCGGAATGTGAATGGATTTTCGATGTATGCATATAAAATGTGAGAATTGCGTAGATTTTATTCAGTGAATATTCACAGTGAATATTTTTTGGCAGTAATGCAAAGGAACGAAGACTTTTTTTTTTTATAATAAACATTGAATGAATTTTAATGCGATAAGTTGTAAGTGACGTCAAGCTTGACGTCAAATTTTTGAAAAAATTGTAATGTTTTCAAATTAACGGTTTTCGATTAATTTCGGCTTTGAACAAAATAATGATAAATATTCCGATTATAACGATTTCTTTTGAAAGCGACTCTTTTGCAACTTTTTTGAAAACTTTTGCTACGACGGCGTATGCGATGTATTTTAAAAGATTTTAATATGTAACAGCAGCTGGATTCGAATTACGAAGAAAAGTTAGATCTTGTGCGATAGTTGGTAGCAACATTCTTAACCGGACGAAACGCAGTGAGAGACATTCTGGTCTGGTTTCGCGCAGATGTTTACTGGCAACATTCGAAAATTCTCGTTTATTTTCCTCATTAGAGGTCGTTAGAAGCGCGCCTATCAGAGACGAGTGGGAGAAGTCGGGATCGGGAAATTTTGCACGCGAGTCGCGCGTTTTTGAAAATTGCAATTCCGTGCGTCGTTACGATTCCGGGGTCCCCTTGGTTGGCGAGCGGGAACCGCGGGAACACGTGTTAACACTCATATACATATATATGTATGTACTTGTGCGCCGCTGTGACAATATATTCACCCCGGCCATTATTATTATTATTATTATTATTATTATTATTATTATTATTATTATTATTATTATAAGTCAGCTTCTGAGCTTTTGCATCTCTCGTCTACCGCAGCTTCTAACTCGAACGTGTTTTTACACCTCGATAGAGATTTTGATTTTGGCTTTTCCCTCTTTGTTGCGCACGCGTCTGTCGCAGGCGACTTACCAAAGTGCCCGTTCACCACGTATCACCGCAAGCCTACCAGCTTTCGTGAATCCGTGTTGTGCCAACTTTCGCATCATCGTCGGTATCTATCGCGAAGCCTTTTGTCTCCGAGCTACAAGCCCAACTACGCCTTTTATAATATCTCTCCGATCTTGTCTCTCTCTCTCTCT